GCTGACCCTTTCATAAACTTTATCAGAGTCAATTAAAATATAGTGGCTTGTCTCCTTAACTATCAACCAAGCGTCTTTGTGCCTATCTATTGCGCCCGTGAACCTTTTTACTGTTACCTTTAGTTAGTTGATAAGTTGACACCGAATCGACCGCGGTCCATATCCATAGCCAGATAAAGGGAACCTATTTGCTTTATAGTATGATAGAAAGGAGGAAACTAGTTTTTTTATACACATCCTTTATATCAGGTCTTTATAAAAAATATAATATCTTTTTATACTGGGTACAGACTTGTATGCAAACGGACAGGATTGGCTGAATGTGGTCAAGGGATTGTATTAAAATGGGTATTGCTAGGAGACTTTACATCTTCTAGAGTCTGTCTGAGAAATCATGAAATTCGATGGATAAACGATATTTACTCGTAGGCGCTTGACACTTTATGACGTGATAGATCAGATATTGCAAGAGCTCATTATAAACGCCGAAAGCCCATGATGTACCCAAGGTGTAATAAATGGGTTACAATGATTTGCGTTCCTAGGCAAACCTTTGACACACTTCTATGTTAGATGGCCTCGATAGAATTGACGAAATGTAAATATTTCCATGCATTATCTAATTGCACCCTGGCAATCAGTCTCGCAATGAATTTTTGTGTAACAAACTAAAGATGTTTGTCTAATCCAAACCAAAGTTGAAGGGAGGTTATAATAAGCCACATTAAAACCTGCCTGGATAGTCTCAGTCACGGCTTCATACCTAGATGTTCCCATCTCTATGATTCGATCCTTGTTTTCTAAGTAAACTTTGAAAGTCCATTACTGTTCTCCTGCTGCACCTCATTTGATTGTCAAATTGTCTCTGGTTTATTATCCATAATGCCGAATTTATGTAGCGGTTCTGACTATCCTTCCAACTATTCTTGTGATCGCTAGGCCCCCAAAGTTTTAGCTGTTTCTTCGAGAAGATTACGCTCACTGAAAACATTATCTCTTGATTTACGAATCTTCCTCACCCGTTTTTTCCGTGTGTTCCTTTTACCTCCGGTCTTATATCCAGGCCTCTTCTTTTTGAGGGTCTTGCCGTATCCCTGTTTGCTCCGAGTTTGCTCAAGCACTAGGCAAAGTTATCGCGGACTACCTTCGTCCAATCTCCTGTTCATCAAATTTCTTTCCCCAAGTATGCCAGTGGCCTCTCTAATTCTGTGTTTATTTGTAGTTTAACCGCACGAGGCCCTTATTTCTCTTGTCTTCCAATATATCTCGTGTCCAATCTGAGCGATGTGTTCCACTATTTCCGTTCTCACTAACCATTTTCTTGCACAGCCACTGATTTTTTCCCTGTTTGGCCATTATATTTTGCTTAAAAACGCCCCATGCTGTGCAGTAACCTCTAGAACAATCCATTAGTCCAGCTCCTCATTTTGCGTGGGTGAACTTGTGAAAAGTATTTTTTTTATTTCCTGGTCACCTGAATATTTCATTATATTAATATTGGCCGTAGTTCTTGAGTCTGTTAGCAGGAAGATAGGCGCATCCGCTTTTGCGAGTTTTTCTCCATCCTTATTTATCTCTTCTAATCCCCGTCCTACCATGGCCTTATGACGTCCTCTTATTTCTTTGTATTACTTCTCTCATGTACCGTTGCCGATGGACATGCGAGTCACTGTCCAATTCCTCACTCCGTTAATCGTAGGCTTCTTATAGTCATCCTTCGCATTATTCCAATCTTCATTCTGTAGTTTAATGAGACTGAAAATTGGGTATTATACTGGCCTCTGGCTTCCTGAACAATCTTCTCTTGGATGTACCATTCAAGCGAATGACTTCGATATCCAGGAAAGGTAACCGCTAGCGAGGTAATGGGATACGAGGATAGGGAATAGGGAGATGTACCATTACAGAAGGAAGAGTGATAACAAAGCCGTTCTGCAGAAAGTTGATCAAAGGAGCAACCTTACCTGTCTTTTTGACGAGATTTAGCTTGGTTCTGAGAATCGTAAGACCATCTGATTGTTTCGATTACAATGCAGATGAAACTTCTTGAAATGTATCAAACCGATGGCCCGCCTGGGAATTATCATAACTACTATAGCAAAGGACATTGAACAATGTGTGTCAATCTAGGTCGCTCTGATAGCACGACCAAGTTGCAAAAATGAGGTTAAACCACTTCCATACAGCGAAACGAGACTGATCAAAATAGAGACCACAAAATTTTGGTCTTAATATCTACGGTTGTTGATTAGATTTTTGCTGAATCGGGCCCATTAGTTATGCGATTTACTTCATAACTACATTCCCCTTTCGTTTGAGACAGATTGGAGTATAAGGATATAAAACTTGATAGAAAGCACCACAAAGCCGAAGTAGGTTTCATGTCCTTCGGCGTCTCCTTTAATCTTCTTTATTAATTAGTTGCTCTGTGTATTAGCTCCTGGAGAATACACTCTGGCTTAACGTGATTAATCGTGTAGATCTAATGGGAAAGCTGATATGTTTACTTCATGCTAAATGTAATAATTTGGGCGATGTTATGAAATACGATAGTGCTATAGACTTTATTCGATTTACTTTAATGAAACCAAATGAATAGTGAGAAAGAGATGGGACGATTCGTTACAGGCTAATAATTTATAGGGTGGGATCATGGTCACACAATTTGTATTCTAGGTAGTGACAACCTCGAGGAGAGGTGGTAAAGGCAAAAGTACGGTTGATAGTCATAACTCATATTGGCGACAGCCAATAGGGTGGGGGGGGGGAATAGTTAGAAAATGTCACGTTAGGCTTAGACTCGCTATGTCAAGTGAAATCTGCCAGTGTTTTATATGTTCATATAATGTTATGCGCTGATTAATACGACGTATTTAATCTCGCAATAGGGTGATCGACACTGATGCATATAATTGGAAATTATTTCACTTCAAATTACGCTATCGACTGAAAATTTTGAAAAAAGGCCGCTACAACCTCTAAGAATGTTTCCGATCATATCTGTTACGGGAAGAGTATACTGGTTTACTGGTAAAGATGCAGAAAATAATTCCAATAAACCCTAACAAAGCAAATTAATAAAGGTCACATTGTATTGTCCTTAACGATAACATTGTCTCTGTTTTATTTGGCCTTTGAGAATTGCTTTAATGTCGAAATTTTAGAGTATTTTTAATGCTTATCTTACTAACATGTTTTCCTTCTTTTACGTTAGGTCTCAACGCTCCGCCGACATGTTACCGGAGTATTTAAACGTCATTATGGCTCCCGGAAAGCGAAAAAACACCACTTTTATGGTTCACCTGAAATTTCCGATCTTTTAGTAACGACGCCGATAATAACGAAACTGAAAACAGATTCGTCTCTTTCGACTGCTGAATTATCTGCACAAGTGGAGCCAGTAGATTCTGCCATCTCAGTGCCTGAAGGTATGTCCCTAGAGTCGACAGCTATTGAGTAAGCTTAACTCAAGTCTTTCGAGATGCAGTGCTCTTAAGAACAATAGTAAATTTATTCATCCAAGACTCGATATTTCAGCTGTCCACTAGCTTCCATTAGACCATTAGCTTCAGTTAGCCTTTTCGGACTAAGAAGTTTTCTTATCCATTTTGGACGAAACTTTTGCATTTGCCTAAGTGTCACAAATGCCGGGTCTCATCGATGGCTTGGTTGTTATGCGTTATGAAAAATAATCATCCGACTGGTTAGTATGACCTAATGGTATGTTTACATATTATTACCATCGTTTTCATATAGGTTTACTCGTACTTTTGAAAGCTATTCAGCTTATTAAATTTTTTGCTAGTTTTTCTCAAACCAACTTTTTATAATTAGCACTTCAACATTCTTCTTTCTCGAAGCAATATAAAACTCTCTTCAATTTACTCTATGCAGTATTCTGAAGCTAAAGATAGCGGATTAAGCGATGCAAACGCTTAATCGCTTTTTTTTGAAAACTCACTCGCTTATGAATTTCACGTATTTTTAAAATATGCATTTTGTTGTGTTTGCCACAGTTCTTATTCAGTGCCAAACCAGTTGGACCATAAATAGATTTGGCTCTATGTTTAGTTCAGGGTACACTGGCTTGTTAGTCGACAAATTTGAATCTAAGTAAACCTTAAAAAATGGCAAGGCCAACAGACGATACCGGCAAAGCGTCTGGGAATCTATCAAGTCCACGGTCTGACTGGAAATTATCATGCATACTATTGACTCCGGACAAGATGCTTTCCTCTAGGTCTTCCTGCCAATATGATCATGGGAAGACAAAGTCAAACAATATCTATACAACGAAAGGAGACCGGGAACATACAAAAAGCCACACTATCATGTTCTTCATACTTTCGATAAATTTTTAATGTGAATTTGAGCTTACTAGAAAGCGTCCATATTTTTTCAACCATCATAATTTTTGAGACTTCAAAGATGACTTATTAACAATGAATCCAATTTGGCCGCAAATTCTTGATCATATCCTATTAATTAATTACCAAACATTTAGCCATTATCTTATAGTTACTACAGGGAGAAACACTAAGACTACTGTTAAAACTTATTATGAGTATGGCCTTTTTAATGAAAATATAAATTTGGTTTGAGGACCCATGTGCCCTAAATAATAATTTTACTTTGCATGTGAGTTTGCTTCATGATTATTAGTTCTATAAAAACCAATTTTTATTGGCTTCATTTATTCATTCAATATTATTGAATTTATCTTAGTTGCTAAGTTTCTATAGTGAAAAGGGATTTTACTACTTTGCTTATCGTTAGACTAAAGGACGCCTACTTTGGAGGCAGCAAAGCATAGAGTATGGATTCGGTAAGGTTCTCAGGTACATAGTGCATCTCATGCAATGAATCCTGTCTTTTCATCATCAAAGCTCTGTACAATACAAGAAGAACCTATTCACTTCTTTGCCCGACTTAAAACATTAGAAAAGAAGAACGAGTAACTTTAGACTGAAAGTATCCGATAAAAATATGACAGATAATTATGACAATGCCGTTTATCATGTTTTTGAACTTTAGGGCTGGGCATTGACCTCCTACTTGATATAATTAAAATGATAAGATGAGTCTTAATTCCACAGCGCTCGTTGGGGCCGCGTTTTTAATGTTATACCTCAGTGCACGTTCATTAGTATAGTTCTACAACTGGACGGATTTGCTCTCATCCCAAATCTATATCCTCATTTGGCCTAATCTGTGCTTACTCGGTTATGCTTACAGCTTCATCTTATGCATTATTTCCTTAGCCTTTCGATTTCGTGATTATTTCATCCACTGGGAGTTTTGGTTCTTACTTTTACTTCTTATTCTACTACTACTACTAGTACTACCTTTACTATTCATACTTTAACTCCGTTCTTAGAGAAAACTAGTTAATGCTGGTTCGAAGGCTTGTCTTGATAGGATCAGACTCATCGGAATATTCTTAGTATTCTTCCAGCAATAATCAAAAATTATGCGACTAAGATAGCAGAGTTATCCCCGGAGCATCAAAAAATATTGATAGAGTCATTTTCATTAAGAGATGAACTAACATTTTATTAAAGTTTTTTACCATGTTTTCCCAACTTGATCA